CTGATGTTGGGAGAGAGTTGCAGTTTGTTCCACCATTAGAAAGACAGAGACAGATGTCAGCACCACCAGCTGCTTTAGTCAGCACTTTGAACATACATACACACACACACACACACGCGCACTCACTCATTGACAGTGGAGAGGGAGTGCCTCACTGCTACATATAGAACACAGATAGGAAGTTTACAGGCTGTCTCTTTTTTGAATCCATTCACTTTCTTTCGTTGCTGAAAACAGAAGCTAAGAGAAACCCGAGGACTGACAGACTGATGCACATTCATTCTGCTGCTGGCTTGACTGATAGAACAAAAGTATCGATCGCCTCTTACCGTCCTGTCAGGGGACAGGAAGCTGCTGAGCTTGACTGGGAGCCAGCAGTAGGTGGCAGCAGTCAGTTACACAACCGCTGCCTGAGTAATCACAATGACTGTCTGTCTACTTTCTGGTGTCGTCGCACAAGTCAAGCCCCTTTATACTCCATCGCCTCCATAGATACAAAATATAGTGGACGTCGAATCAACCAGACGGATCCCTGATTATGACTATAACCCATTTCTGTGAGCACTTTTGTTGTTGTTCATATCAAGGCTCCAAACAGCACAATGCGTTTCTTGCAGCCTTTCTTTTGTTTTCCAGTGATTTGCCAGTCTAGACACCCCCTCTCGTCTTGCCGTAACGCTGCAGTGTGTAATAAGCAGGTGGCCATGACAGCACTAACTGCAGTAAATTGGATTACCTGAGGCCTGCTGAGCCTCAGAGCCAGCCGGGGTTTCCTCCTCACCACAGGCCTCGCACACACACACACACACACACACACACACACACACACACACACACGCACACACACACACACACATGCCTGCTGCTGCAGAAAATGCACTAATGATCTGCCTGCCTTCATTTATTCAGCTCATTTCCCTGCGGCGAGTTGGAAGTCACGTCGAAATGAAGACGGACTCATGAATTGTCCTTATGACTGCACGAGGGCAGAAGCAGGAAGAGAATATTGGACACATACTGTATGTTCGTACCAAGGCTCTTGATGGCCTGGCACAGAGGAGAGAGGAACCACCACAGGCTGCATGGCCTTCCAGCCCACAGAGCTCAAGTTTTTGCTCGCTTGCGTGAGAGATGGACAGGGATGAGAGAGAGGTTAGAGAGAGGGAGACAGACAGAGAGGAATAGTAGGACAAGCACGCTGCCAAAATACAGGGTTATATAAGGACAAGAGTTTTCCATGGAAAAAAAAGGGCAAAAAATGCTGTTTGGAGTCAGTCATCCTTGGTGATGCGTGGAACAGTGTGGAATGCTGTGCTGACGCAATTTTCGAGCAGTGATCGTGTGTAATGAGTGTGTGTTTGATATGCAAGTGTACGAAAAAGGAGCAGCGTGAAGAGAAGAAAGAGATGGAAGAGAAAGTGGGCATGTTCTGTGAAAATATGTGCGTGCGTGTGAGCACACTTTGGATGTGTGCGCACATGCGTGCGAGTGGAAATGCAGAGGGAGAGAGAGAGAGTGCCGTCGCCTGCTGACGTAACAGTTCCTAACTGTTTCCATATAGAAGGCCTGGGACCAGGCGCCAGGCAGCCCCTCAGCATGGATACGTCTGGTACCCATCAGCCCATGTGAGATGGAGGGTACACGCTCAGACACTCCTTGCACACTCAAATGCATCACTCTTTCAGTTGAATTTACATGAGCTTCACTGGCGCAAAACATGGACATTCATTTACAAACACACAAATGCATACACACGCGCGCACACACACACATTTTCCATGTAGAAACACACACACACACACACACACACACACATGCTAGTACAGTTATACATGCATGCCACATCCATACACACAAACAGTATGGACAAGCAGCAAACAATAAATTCGTACAAACATGCACATACAATTATTTTAAAGGAAAAAAACAACTAAATAAATATATTTTCTGACTTTTCACAGAACATTGAGTAAATTATCGGCACGTTCATCAATAATGAAAATAGGACACTTCACTGGTTGGATTTTCCTTTGTCACCGATCTGCATCACACATTCATATACACACAAATGCATTTACACTTGTCAACATCTTGTATGCGTGCATGAAAAATTGAAATGCAAATATATATTGTCAATAAATGCACACGTAGACATGCATGCATCCCATATATCTATCCACAGACACACACACACACACACACACACACACACACACACACAGACACACACACACAGACACACACACACACACACGCACAGAATTTGCATTTGTTCGTGCTGACTGTCTGGTTTTAACACTCATGTATTTGCTTTAGTGCACAACCAACATGTGAAGTAAACAGGTAAGTAAGATATGAATGAAAACTCAGAAATCTATTTCAGGCCACTGAAGGAGTTTACACTACATTGGCAACAAGAAACCCGCATAAGTGCAGATTCAGCACAGCAGAGGGGAGAGTCTCGACGGGCAGGTTACCCGAGATGCAGATCTATTTAATACAAGCTCAGGGCACCTTGAAAAACACACACACACACACACACACACACACACACACACACACACACACACACACACAGACAGCATAATTGTGAAAGGGTTATCCATTATGATCCAGGTGATAAATACTGACACCAACATTGGGCAGACCGCTCATTTTAGAGAGATAGAAAGAGAGAAGGTGGGATTTATTATGTATTCCATTACCGCGCTGGTCTTGTGATGGGGAATTCCCATGATGGCAATAAAATAAAGACACAGACACGCAACAAAGAGCCGAGGGACTCAGCTGGAGATGCTGGTAGTGCCATTACCTCTGCTTGTTTCATGTTGGATTCACTAAAATGCTCATTAAGACAGCATTGTGCTCACTGAAAAAGGGCAAGGCCCATCTGGTTTTGAATCCGTACAGAGTGTGTGTGTGTGTCTGTGTGTGTATCAGTGTTGAAAGGATTTGCTCCATCTTCTTCGCCGCCTCTCCTTACCTTACTTGTTCGTCCCACAACAGCATGCCTGTTGTTCTGGCTCGAGTAAACCAAATAGTTTTGGCTTTGGGAGGGATGCGTTGTAGAGATGTGGTTTGATTGCAGGAGGTGAAATTCCACCATGACATCATGAAACCAAAACTGCCTTTGTAGTCAAGCCCCCATTGAGGGGACTCGATTAATTGGCATCCCGCTGGATTTGGACGCTGTTTTTTGCAACATTGGTGTACTCTGTGTCCTCTGGGGGCACACACACACACACACACACACACACAGACACACACCACTACCTCACCTCATTCTCTCATCCCCTGGAGGTAAGCACTGTACAAACACATCACATCATTGGCAAACACTGCACCCTCACCAGCCGCCCTCCCACTCCTGTGCCTGCAGACAGAATAAGGAATAAGGAATAAGGAAGAGGTGGAGCAGGGGGGGGGGGTGAAGACTTGTGAACCAGACATGTGTGTGTGTGTGTTTGACGTGAGAAGAGGAAGCAGAGGGATAATACCAGACGTTGAGTCAATCTGAGAGAAGACAGGGAACAGCAGCGTGATGTTGCTTAGAGGTGTGGCTTACTGGTCGCCTCTCTCAGACACACACACACACACATCTTTATTCTTACAAATGTGAAGGTGTGCCTCTGGGTCTCTCTGTGGGACTGTATCACTGACGGCGGCACACACCAGTCGCCAACCTGCGGTGTACCTGCATATTTCCTCTGTTAGCTAGTAGTAAGCTAGTAATCCTTATAACAGCTAAAATTCACTTCTGGATGAACACTTTAAATAACCTTGTAACTGAGGTAAAAAAAAAGGAATCATACGCATATATTTGAGGTACTTTACTTGAGTCATTTTGTTTTATGGTTGAGTACAGAGTACTCCACTATACCTTTCAGATGGAAATATTGTTCTTTTGGAGAAATATGCTTCCGAGACTTAGCGTTATATCTGTTTGGTAAATATGAAGCTATAGCTAGCAGCAGGTTAGCTTAGCTTAAAGAAAGGAAACAAGGAAGTGGCTCTGTTAAATCCCCCGTAAAATTCCAACTTTTCATTTTTTACACTTTGGCTTTTGTACAGAATAAACATACAACATATAATGTGTCACTGAGCTTCAGAGGTGTTAGTAGGAATATTTGTGTTACTTTTGGATGGACACGGCAGAGCTAACGTTAGGCTAGCTGTTCCAGTTTTTTAGCCGCATATTCAAGTACATTTAGCTTGATGATACTTGTGTACTTTTACTACAATGTTAATATGTATAAGAATATTTTGACACTGGTATCAATACTTTTAATGTTAACATTTGTGCTGAACTCTTCCAATCTAAACACCCTATATTTATCAGCAATAATTTGGTCTAAACTTCATAACACGGCTGACGTGCCTCTCTATGAAGTTATTTTGAACACATCCTCTATATTAAATAATTCAACATTCCATCAGCATTTAGAAGCATGCGTCACCGCATGAAAAAAAACAAAACAAAAATCAATGAAGCTGTGTTTTGTGGTCAGAGTGGAGCTGGTTAAACACAAAATCAATAGGAAGGCTCCAAGACCCGTATGGGATGTCGTAATGTGTTGTTCGTCTGTTCAGTGGGATTCCCTTCCCTGCCCCGATCAGCCCCCATGCAAGCACACAAGATGAAGAAGAAGCAGAGAAGAGTTTGTACTTTTTCATGTCTGTATTTTTGTCTCATTTTCACAAAACATGTACAGGGGAAGGAAAAGCCTTTCAATAGAACCTGAGGTATTTTTGCGTCAAGCAGCCTAAGGTATCAGGATTTTCTTTTAAAAACTCATCTATATTCATCAGTGTTCTCAGATGAGTTGCTATTTACACAACAATAATAACAATAATAATAATATTTCGATAACAAGATTTTTAGCAAATGGGACAGCCTGCATCATCTTTGTTACATGTCATAAATAATTCTAATAACATTTCTTAAAAATATAGGGAGGAGGGTGAGGAGAAGTTGCTTGAGCCTCGGGGGAACAGAGGAGTCTATCTGAACTTACTGTAGCTGCAGCAGCCCAAAGTCAAAGGTCAGAGATCACCAGAGAGAGAAGCTAATCAAGGATAAACGGGAAAATAAACACATTTTACATTATAAATAAATACCTATCTCGCACCAGGAGAGCAACATTTTCATTTCTTACACTTCAAGGTATGAAGATCCGCTTTTTTTTTTCTTTCCGTTTTGTCACGTTGTTTTTAATCAAAGCTTTGGAAAGTGAGAAATAAGAGCAAAAAAAGACAGAAAGAGAGGGAGCCTTACGGACATGCATTGTGCTGATGTGTGTACCCTGTGCTGGGCTTGGCTCACTGAAAGATCCCCTGAGAATGAACAAAAGGGTGTGTAGGGCCTCCTATGCTTTGCATGTGTGAAAATATGTGTAACTGCATACAGAATAGGGTGTGTGTGTGTGTGTGTTGGATGAAGAACTGGTGCTGGCTCGGGGAGGACACTCAGTCTGTTAATCTTGTGAAAGAGCGCGCATTTGTTTGCATATGCAAGAAATCATGACACTGGCAGGACATGTTTTACTGTGTATGAGCGACCAGAGAGTGTGCGGCTACTTTGTTCCTCTGCACAACAAAACAATGTTTTTAGTTAACGCTGGAGCCCTGGATTGTGATGAATCCGTGATTACGCACTACAGAGATCCGGTTCCAGTGGGATGTCTGTACCATCCTCCAAATATAAAACAGAAGTCTATATTTGCACCTTCGATACTCAAGCCTGTGCTTCCGGAGTATCTTGCTGCCATGGGAGTGATGGGTAACTGAACTTGGTTATCAGAAAGCAGAAAAGTGCATTTCAAAGTCAAACATCACTCTCCCCAAAGAAGGAACAGCACGTATTGCTTGCTTGATTTTGTTGAATGTATGTATTTGTTTGAGTGTGTGTTCATAAATACCATACAGCAAATAATAATAATTCAACAAGAAAAAAAAGAAAGAAATCCACAAAACATTATATTATTTCTCATTGCCAGAATGAACCAATACAATAAATTAAAACTATAACTGAACAAAGTCCATTTGAAGTCCATTAAAATTGCTATATATATTCATATTGTATATATAGTATTTGTCTGTCTGTAGTCAGCCTTTCTGGTGCATGCTCAGTGGTGACCATAGATGGTGACTGGGAGCAGTGGGGGTGTCTATAAAGGAGCTGAATGTCCGTTAAAGCGAAACCCTCGCCACCCTCCCGAAACCTCAGTCCCATCGCGCTGTTAACACTGGAAACAAGGGAACCAAAGTCAGGAAAGACACCCTGTGCTTTAAGGGGGAACACTGCCCATCACTGCGAATCTTCAAAAGTCTTTTCAGCAACAACATGCTGAGGATGCTTCATTGTTTGGATACAGTACCGCCGTTAGATGAAGTCCTTGGGATCTCTCTGCCTTGTGCTGTGGTGATGTGAGGAGACGGTGCTGTTAAGGAGTCTGTTATTGTTGTCTGATGTTGCTATGCAGAGTCTGTGGCGGGCAGAGCCACTGGGAGGGGGGGGGGGGGGGGGGGATGTAGCCGTGCGAGGTTCTGAGGCTTTCTGACACTGGGGTGAAGCTTTGGGAGGAAACATGGGGCTTGGTTCAAATCACAAGCTATACACCCATTGAAGAACAATACATTTGACCGCAGGCAAGCAGTTTGTGTCCGAACTCTGTCAAAATAAGGATATTCTATATAGTGAGGATGCAACATGACACTTGTCCTGGGTCGTTTCTTTTTTTTTTTTAAATCTGCGACAGAGCTCAGAAAATTAAGAGTTTCAGTACCGACAGTCCCCCCCCCCCCCCCCTTTTACCCCCACCCTCCCCCAGACTTTTATTCAGATTTGCATGAGAGTTCAGGATGGTAAAGCACCACATCACAGGCTCTGTCTCTCCAGGTGCGAATGCTAGTTCGCTTTCTTACCTTTTCACATTACCTCTCTGCTTGTGTATCTATTTGTCCTTCTCTCAGTTGGAGTCTTTAACACTGTCTGTGAGGGGAGCAAAATAAAAGCCTCTTCTACTTCGTCATATGTCCTCCTCTTGCCCTCCCTCTAACCAGGTCCATTTTTGCCCCCAAGGGACCGCCCCAATCAGGTCCATTATCTGTCAGGATACCTCGATGATCTCCATGCTCCCGGAGAAGCTTGACTGCTTCCCAATCTTCCCCAGTTCTTCTCGGGATCGCGTCTCGGAGATGCCCTCCTCGAACTCCATCTGGCAGCTGCGCCGCTTGAACTGCTTTTCTGACGCAGGCCCGCTGTTGTTCGCACTGTTGGACAGGGTCACTGTGGATGACATGGAGTCTCGGTGGTCTCTCTGTGTCAGTGGCGCTGAGGACTTCTCCCTCTGGGATTTGTCTCGTAACCGCACACCTTCGCTACACCCAAACGCCACATATGCCGAGCTGCTCCCAAACCTCACCGACGACTCCTCTCCCCGTCCATCCCCTCCTCCTCCCAGCTCCATCTCTCCCTCACCGCCCTCCACTGCCCCAAAGTGCCAGGGGGCATCTGTGGGGGGAGTGACGGGAGTGACGGGAGTTGTGGCCTGGACAGTGTCTCTGTGTTTGGTCCACATGGTCCCAGACTCCACGCTGGGCAGGGAGGGTAGTGAAAGGAGCAGGGATCCCTTTAGGTTCTCGTCCAGGCTGGGGCTCTTGGGGTCCAGCGACAAGCTGAGGGACTGTGGAGGTTGGTGGGGTTGGAAGTGGACTGGGGAACTGCCGGAGCAATGCTTGGGTTTCCTCCTGGGTCTGGACGAGGAAGAACCGGTGCGATGGACTCCTTCACTTCCTCGGAGCCCCAAACCTCCAATGCTGCCCCCGCTGCCTGGTGAGGGGAACGGTGAGTCAGCGGAGCAGGGGCTGTCAAGGACGGGAGACTGAGAGCAGACACCGTTGGAGGAGCCGGTCCCTGGGCTGTCAAGCTTGCAGAGCTTTGGGACGTCTTCAGAGTGTGTGGGTGCCTGACTGGGGCAGAGGCTGGGACTGTTTGGGGAGTAGACCGACTTAATGTCAAGGGAGAAGGAGCGTTTAAGCCGGTTAGTGTCCATGATCCTTTCTGCGGAGAGGTTTAGGCCGTTGAAGCCTTGCTGGAGGGAGGTGGGTGATGGCAACTTGGGTTCTGGTGGGATGTGTGCATCTGCCACAGATGAGTCATAGTTGCTGTGGTGACCGTTCATCTCGAAACCTCGATTAACCTCTGAGCTTTGCTTGGTGTTGATTTCGGATATCTTGTCATCAGAGGTGGAAGTCAAAGCTTGCAGTAATTGCAGGCCCTTCTCAAACTCCAGAAGCTGACCCAGGAAGTTGAAGTTGGGGGATATGGACGGTCTTCGGTCCTTTACAAACCTGAAAGGAGGAAAAGAGTTGGAAATTGAGAATGGGAACATTACAAGCATTACATCTGGCATTACTTGCAACAGTGAGTTGTCCTTTCACTGGGGCTGACACCTTAGCTGAGCTGGAGGAGCAAGCGTACCTGTAGGCATCATCTGATGACAAGCCCATTGTCTTCATGATGTATGCAATGGCGATGGTTGCTGAACGCGAGATTCCAGCCAGGCAGTGCACAATGACTCTGCAGTTTGACACCTTAGCTTTATCTGTTGTGGGGGGAAAGCGAACAGGTATGAATACGCATGTTTAGCACAAAGTGTCTGGAGACAATCAAAGGCTATTGAAAGCAAACTGACATTTCCTGGAAGAGTACTGGAGGGGGGGACACCTGAACGGGTGTGTTATACCCGTTACCTAAGCTGCACGTGACCTTTTGTTAACTGTGACAATGTGCGGAGATGTTGTATTGAATATCATAGCATTCTTCGACTTGAGATGAATTCACTTCCTTATAAAGACACTTCCAATCATCCAATCACATTCTTGTTTTATTACATTTCCCCTCCTCATACCTATGAATTCATTCGTTTTTTCCAGCCAGGGAAGCAACTTCTCGCAGTAGTTGTCGTTGACTGGGATGCGCATGAAGTGGCTCTCGCTGATGAAGTCTGGCTTGGGGCAGGTGTTGCTGGCATTCAGCACATAGGTAATACCATTCTGAGCCATCAGATCCTGCACAGAGAGAGAAAAAGTGGTTCAAGGAGACGTTTTGTTGCCAGGTAAAAACAACAAGATAGCTATCTTTCAATGATAAAACGAGTGAACAGATGCAAACTACATTCTACCTTGTTGAGGACGTCCTTCTGTGAGCCCAGGTAGAGGTGTGGCAGGATGCGAGTGGGCCCTACATTAGCCACAGGCAAGCAGGGCTGGGACAAGCTCATAGGTAGAGCAGTGGCAGGTTTCCCTTCACACAGGCCAGGAAAACAGGAGGAGAAAGCAGCGAAACCTCCTGCAGAGAAGGAAGAGAAGGAGAGACCTGGTTAGGTACACTAATGATTATCCACAGAGCAGTCACACAACACCCTGGGAACTCTGCAAAGACTCTTGTGAACCAATCAAGAACACCATTAGCAGAGCAAACAGACGCTCTGTAGGCTTTCAGAGGCGAATCTGGGCTACAATGTCTGGGTTTTGCTTGGTGCAACAGGAGCAAAAAAAGGGGCTCTCTGTGCTTCTGTGTACGAGTTAGGTTGACTTGCTGGGCGGCCAGGAATGTGCATGCCTGGCCCTTTAAGAGGCAGGCGGCTCCACTTTTGGCACATGTGTATATATGTGTGTGTGTG